CGGTGAATGAGGATAATAATATAGGTGGTTAATATGGTGATTGGTGATGTTATTCACTCCCCTTCTAACTAAATGTCTTAACTTTTATAGCTTAACTTGCTAATGTTCTAGGGTTTTTGTTTTTTCTTTTGGAGGGAGGAGAGGGGGGGATCCAAATTTTGAAGTGAAATTTCCTAAACCTTTGTCACATTTGCTCCATTCATTTGATTTGTTTTTGGGAAATTTCCTCATGGTGTTAACTATCCATTCTGTAATTCTGTACAATGTATATAAATATCATTTCACAATACACAGAAGAAAATCATCAAAACATTAAGCTCAGAATAATGTGGCATTGCCCTTCCTCTTCCCTCTCACTTTGCTGCTTATTCTTACTGTTAACAATAACACCAACACATTGTTACCTGATTTCCCCAGACTGGATAAACTCAACCTGCAAAGTATGCTCAGATAAATCAGCACATACAAAACTACAACTTCTGTGTTACTTCACTCCAAGCAATTCCTATAACTCATGTTACCAACTTACAAGGAGTAGGAACTGTAGCAGTGGAGCTGGCTCTACAAAATGCTACCAACACGATTTTGACCATTGAGAAGATGCTCAGTAGCAAAGAGTTTGGTCCTTTTGCTATGAACTGTTTAAGAGATTGCTTGGAACTTTATGCAGATGCTATTACCATGCTGGTGGATGCTTTTGTCGCGTTCTTGGCTGAGCATTTTGATATAGCTACTGTACTAATGAGGACAGTTATGGATGCAACATCAACGTGTGATGAAGAGTTCACTGAGAAGAAAGGAGAATCGACAGTACTAGCAAAGGAGAATTACAATCTCTTCCAATTGAGTGACATCTCATCGTGCATCATTAAACAAGTTTCCTCTGTTCCTTCTCAGCTAAGTCATGTATCTCCTTAAGATGTGGCTGCTATAAATTGTGTACTGAATGGGACACCAAAGGGTTGCTAAATTCTTGTAGAAATACTTATCAACAAGTCTTGTTATCCCCATCCCCCTTTTCCTTTTCCCCTGACGAGGATATTTGCACATCAAAGTTGAAAACACACACATTAGAGGTCAATTAACAAGAGAACTGGGACGAACACAAGATAAATAGTAACAAAAAAAAGAGCAATATATAATCAAGTGTTAAGATCCATTTAGTTAAAGGTGAGATTTGTCACTTCAAAGGCCCTCCCCGAACTGTTTCTGAAAACCCATCTCCATCCCCTTAGACCTCGCGTTACAATGTGCTAGCTTCATAAATTTCTGTCTAGATTGTTCAGAATAGGCAGCTCTTAGCTGCTTTCTCAGCAATCGTGTGCCGTCAAGGAAGGAGAATTACCAGTACTTGCAAGCCACAGCTGATTGTCATGATTTATCAAGACATGAACTGGTGGAACCTTTGATAAAGCAAGGTTCAGTAGGTATAAATTATACTGCTGAATAAAACATACAGTTATGGGAAACAAAGTGCACGATTTTGTTAGCAAGAAACTTTAGTCAACACAGAAGTAAATGTAACTGGAGAGTATATGATTATACAACACCCTCACTGTTTAAACCAATAATAAACTTGCTAGTCCATTAAGACAAACATACACAGAACATTTCAAAAATGTTACATTACAAATATTATGTTTGTATGGCATAACGTAAAGCTGGGTGTTCTGGGATGCTCATGAAGATATATTTATCTAATGAATATCTATGAACTCCCTAATACTTGAATGAACTAGAATAAATCTTTTGTACGTAAACGGACATGATAACGAACCAAGGGAAGGGGTGGAAATTTCCTTTCCCCTTCTCAATTTTATCTAAGAAGCAGTGCACCAACCAAGCATTTGAGATTATGACAACAAAATTTGAAGTCGGGCACATGTACTGATCAGTTGGTACTCGCAAATTTGCATTTCTTTCCATGATTTGGGGATAACCACATCCAAACAAATAAAGATTTAAGAAGAGAAAAAATAGTAGATAATTATCAATCAGCTAAGCCTGAAATGTTCTCTTTAATTGAGTGGGACAGAAGATAACTACGCAGTTGGCACTAGTAGAATGCTTAAAAAGAAACAATCATGTTCATTGTCCAGTATGTTTTTTGATTGTTGCCCATCGTCTAGTATAACTTCTTTGATACATGTTTTTTTATAGCACTGCATTTGATGCAAAACAGGAATTATCATTTTTACCACACTAATTAAACTTGCTGGAAATATGATTTCTCAAAATTGTTGACACCATACCCTAAGAAAAAGGAGAAAATCTGAACTCTACTGTTCCAGTTGAGTTCTTTTCTGATAAAAGTGTGGATTAATCATCTCTTTTAATAGTGATTTAGGAAATTAGGTAAAACATATGATAAAAACGCATTGTTGCATTACTTACTAATAACCAGGTAAAGACATCTGCCTAAAAATGAACGCAGTATCATAAACTTTCTGCTTATATGTAATTGTTTCAGCTTGAAATTATCTAACCATGACATGTCATGTGCTTTCCTCCTCTCAGAAATATGCATAGCTGAGAGTTATTCAACTAAACCTAGATCTGCTAATCCTGCAAGCTGACCTAGATTAATAGGCTCTTCAAATTTGTAATAAAGTTCACAGCAGATTTGAGCTTTCAACATTCCTAGAACATAATCATGCAACATGCAGTAGTCTAACTATGAAGAGTGTGTTCTTCCGCACTCAGCGAGCAAGAGTAAATTCATTAAGAAAACCTTAAGATCATGATAAGAATATCACAATTCAGGATTAGCCAAGGCAGTATAGCACTTAACTTCAAGCTGTATAAAGTATTTTACTTGAATTTCAGCAATCCTGTACCATGCCTACCAAGTTGTCCAATCAATAAGGTTACTGTAAAAACTAGCATATAGTCATATACAACAATAGTATAAAAGATAATACATTAATATTTAGCAAAAAGAGTAAATTGTTAATGCTGTAGTATTTTAGCAGGGAGATAGATAACATTACCTGGAGACCTCCAGTCAGTCGGTCAGTTTCAGAGTTTAACGATCCCGACAATTGTCTCCATTCAAAAGGCTAGATTTCTGGCTCGTTTGCCATTGCATGTAACTATTGTTGATTTTTTATTTAGTCAACTTAGCTATACTATAATTGGAACAAGGAAATTTAGAAAACCCTCTGTGACTAATATGGTATAAATCACAAGGGAAAAGAAATGAATGATGATGCCATGGATTGCTAAAAACACAGACAGAGAAGGGGCAGGGAGAAGAAATAAGAAGATAAAACCGAAGATACAAAATTGACAAATATGGAAGATCTTAACTTTGGCATAAGTTCAATATTTAATTGTCTTAGCTAACCTGGTTGTGGGTAGTGGCGCCAGTGATGTAGCGAGGAGAGAGAAGAGAGAAGTGTAAAGGACAGATCTAGTGGTTGCGGAGGTTGTGGCAGAATGGCAGGTGAAAAGACCGTGAAGGGTAAGAGTGAAGGTTCGATGGTGGTGATATGGCAGTGGTGACAGCGGTGATGCATTATGGTGGAAGAGGTGGTGGCTGAAGGGAGAATGAGGAAGAAGAAATAATTATTTTTTTGTTAAAAATGCAAATATGACTTTCACATTCTTATAATAGGTGTATTACACACTATGCCATGTCAACCATCTGTCTAATAAACACAATTTGAATAGAGTTAAACCATTGGTGTACAGAGATCACAACAGAACCTTAGGCTGTGGGTGCATGGAGATCATAGAAACTTGTGGTCACAAATGGAGACAAATTTATATATCAGGGTGGGAAATGGCACTAAAACAAAATTTTGGAAGAATGTTTGGATAGACCAATCCCCTCTTAGGGATCTCTTTCAAATTTGTGGAAATCCTGATGCCAATGTTGGTGATTGCTGGACTGAACAGGGCTGGGATCTAGTATTTAGAAGACTTCTCAATGATTGGGAGGTGGAAAGGGTGGCTGAGATATTAGGGATGCTAGGCGGAGTGACCATCAACGCCAATGCCACAGACAGGATGTTGTGGAAGCACAGCAAAGATGGCCTTTTCTCAGTCAACAGTGCTTACAGAAGAGGTCTCCAGGTGATGGCAGGGAGACCAAAACACCTCTGGAACTATCTTTGGAAGGGGGATATTCCTACAAAAGTGAAATGCTTCACTTGGCTAGTGATAAAGAGAGCTTGTTTAACACAAGAAGTACTTCAGAAGAAGGGTAGACAGCTGGTCCTAGGTTTTTTTTATGCAATTTGACAAGTGAAACCAACAGCTACCTCTTCTTGCACTGTAATTACACTGCTCAAATCTGGAATTTGTTCAGCATCTCAAATCTGAATTGGACAATGCCAGAACGTACATCAAACGTGTTGAAGAGTTGGGTAAGGAGAGGAGGTACCAAGAGCCAGAAGAGAGTGGAGGTTAAGACCATCATGTATATGGTGGTCAGTTTGGAAGGAAAGGAACAGTAGATGTTTCGACAATAGATCCAATTCCATACACAAGGTCAAATGGAATTGTATAGTATATCTACTTTTTTTGGTGTAAACAGTTGTGTATAGTAGATACAAATCAGATTGTAGATTTGATAGGAAGTTTGTAATTGACACTTTCTGGTGGTGGCCAGCATGCCCTTAATGCTGAAGAATACAACCTTACCAGTTTCAAAAAAAAATATGTATATATATAGTTCAAGTGTCAAAATGAAATTCTTTTAGATGCTGATTGATTAGTTCTTATAAAAAAAAACTGATTAGCTGTATACTAAGATCAATGTGTATACATAGCAAAATATATCACAGGGGGTATGATTGTTCATGAAAAATCTTTTGATCATATAGGTACAAATTCAAACAATGTAATATGTTTGCAGCGAAAAGTACAAGTTATATGTTTTAAACCATTTCTCAATGAGGAAAGAGCGGTAAACAGTTAAGTTCATGGATTATTATGAATATGGAGCATAACAATGTAAAGTTTGCTAGTGGAAACTGAAGCTTAAACAAAAGCAGTGACGGAATACTGAGGAACTATCTCATTTTATAAAATTGGATACTTACATACAAGCTGCTACACTCTTCTTGGCAATACAAGTAACTTTAGTACCATAAAATGTAAAATGTGATTTTCTTTAGGTTTAGGAAGAACAAAAGCCTGAAGGACCTCCAATAGCACTAATCTGGCTTAAACTTCTACTGCATAAACCCCTTCTTCATCACGTTCATTTCTCCTATTATCATCCTGACATGATGTAAGACCATGTTTTTTAAGGTAGTTCTGTTGCTCCAATGATTTCCAGTCACTCAGCTTTATATACCCTAGCAATGCCTTCTCATGGACCAGGCTGCAACTGGAAAAGGGGTACTTACACAGAAGCTGCTACACCCTTCTTGGTAACAGAAGTACGTTAAGCACCATAAAAAGTTTGCTTTTCTTTCAGAAAAGGTAGTGCCAGCAAGAGTTTCAAAAGTGTTAATCTTGCTTAAATTTCTGCTGCATGAACCCCTTCTTCATCATCATCACTTTCATTTCCTTCATTATCTTTTTCCTCACCTGTGCCTAGTAACAAACTTTTCTGATCTACTGGAACAGCATTTCTTTTGTAGTTCCAAACGAGCATTGAAATGTAATCCTGAGGTGAGATCAAACCTTGTTCTTTTAGACAGTTCTGTTGCTCCTCCAAAGTTTTCTGGTCACTCAACCTTATATACTCCAGCAGTGCCTTCTCATGATCGGGCCTCCAAGCCACTGGAAAGGGGGTGTAATCAGTTTCTGGTACCAGGGACATGCGGGTGTACATGAGCCCATCAATTGATTCCACCAGACCCATCCTCAGCAAGTTATGGTATTCTGGAGACTGTCCCTTTTTCTCCTTCAGAGGACGACTAAGAGTCCTAGAACCAATCTTGTAAACCTTTGCTCGTGACCGAAGCTTGTATTTTGCAGCATAGAGCTTAGCAAGTGAACCCCTAATGATATAAGAACAAAAATTAACAATCTTTTTTCTATTATCAGCATACCTGAACCATTCCACCATTGTTGACAAAAGCTTATTCATCTGAGCATTTGTATGGGCTTGAGTTGCATGAAACATTCTAAAACACGGCTGTGGATCTGGATCCCTGTCTCCCTTGAGAAAGTTCAACTTTCTAAATTGTCTAATACATTGTTTCAGGCTAGCTGTGACAGACAACAGTGTCCCTACACCTTTTTCACTAATGATTTTCCCACCAGTAGCAGTATATCGGAGTGTGGGATATACTACTCTACGGCACAATACATGATCAAGAAACATAATACCTTTTGTTATGTGTTCAATAGGAAGGCTCTCATTGTCAAGCTTGAGCATATATTTCTGATCACAGAACTCAATCAACTGCTTTCTTAGCGTTGCAGCATCTGCTCTTGGTCCCCTTACCCCTATTAGAATGTGACCACCAAAACGGATGTAATCAATCTTCCTGGTCTTGTCAGGTCCACTGGTAGGAACAAATTCGGGCCAAGAAGTATTTCCTTGTTCTACTTCCCCATCAGGACTATTCCAAATGACATCATTCTTCGAAGGCCGATAAAACTCTTGAATCTTACCTTCCATCCAGCGGTCCAACTCATCAAGGCAAACATTAGCCAGAAGTGGACTAAGTATACCACAATGCCCCCATGAAGGAACTTTCTCAGCCTCCTCTGGAGCAAACCCAAAGAACGATTCCAGCCAGTATGGATCAGGCTTAGGCTCATCATCTGCTAAGACTCTCTTCTTCTGATACTTTCTTTTCGTCTTCTTCTTTTTCTCAACATCATCAGGTCTAGTAGTTACCACAGGAGTAGTTAAAGCAGCCTTTATCAAATCAACTACCTTCTTATCTCTAACATCCCTCATTAAAGCACTAATGACCATCCCAACCTTCATTCCATCCAAAACTGTACTTAAATCCCCTTTTATATACCACAAATACCCTGCAAAGCTTCTCCTAATAACCCTCAACGCTGTATGTGCAGTCCTTCCAGGTCGAAAAGCAAACGACTTCTGCGAAAACCGAGCCTCATAAACCGGCTCCAATATCATAAACAACACTTCCTGCACAATCCTATCCTGAAACGCACTTGGCTGTGTTGTAGTCAAGATAGCTTTGATCTTCCTCTTCGACAACGACTCATAATCCGTTTTATCCCTAGGAGATTTAATAAAAAACTCCAACCTAGCTCCCCACTTAAATCTATTATCTAAAACAGCATTTCTCAAAGCCAACAAATCCTCAAGTGCTGGCCGAGTAATCGCATTACGAGGCATATACGCACCCGTATCATCAGCAGAAACTTTTTGATAAGCTAATACCCACAACTCAAATCTCCTTAAATAATCAGTTAAATTATTCACTGTCTTATCAGATTCTCGAAAACTATCAATCCACATTTTACAACAAAGTGATATACTATCTTCTTTCATCAAGGTGGCCGGATCATTCGGGTCCGGTGCTCTCCTATTAGAGTGTGTTGAAGTATACATAAATGCACGAAATACAGTAAAACCATTATTTCTAGGGTTACAAATACTCAATTCAGGGATAAATAAAGCATTGATTTTTGCAGAAAAAAATGAAGAAAATTGAAGTACCCGATAACTGGATAATACAATACGTTGATGCATCAGAGATTTTGCATCTGCGAGAGAAAATTCTTCGAATAATTATTCAATAATTTGAGTTGAAATGAAAAAAAATTGAGAAAAGTGAAAACCTTAAACCCTATTACTAAACCCTAAACGGGTATCAATCGACCCACGAGCTGTTTCGGGTTATCTAGCACAAGGATATTCGGATCCAAAATGAGGGTACAATTTGCATAGCGTAGCCAGTTTTCATCCGTATTCAATGTTTTAATTTAAAATATAACTCTTCTTCTTTCTTTTTTAAACTAAAAACTTTATCTAAAGTCAAAATCAAACAACAAATCATTTTTTTTAAGAGAAAATTTATGCAGTTAAGTAAATTTATATTAGTATTTAATTAGTCATCATAGCTATAATATTGTAATAATTACCATTTGCAACTAACATTAATCATTATTTACGTGGGTTGACTTGTGAAGTTTATATATTTAGCTACGTTTGTATAATTCACCATATTTGTATGATTCACAACTAACAATTTTTCATTTGATTTTTATTTGTATGTGATGGTTTTTATTTTCTTTGATTTTTCGGTATTAACACCATATACATTCAATCTTTTTGTGTATGATTTATTAAAGCATGTATAAATGTGTAGTTTTTAAATTTTGTATAATATAATTTATATAATGTAAATTGTGTAATATAATTTTTATAATTTTTTAAAATTCATATGTTTATGTTTATATCAATTAGTTATTCCGAGATTTATCATATTTGTATAATTTCAGATTATATTATTTAATTATACAAAAACACGCTAATTATACAAACCGCGAATTATACAATTATTGCCCTCACGCTCGCCTCTCTCCTCCTCTCCCTATCTCGCTCACCTCTCTCCTCTCTCTCCCCCAATCTCGCTCGCCAGATATACAAATACATGTGTTTAACATACAGTTATCTAACCAATATACATATAGTTTTCTACCACTCTGTGTCCTCTCTCGCTCGCCTCTCTCTTCTCTCTCCTAATCTCGGTCACCACTCTCCTCCCTATAGCATGTATGTAGCTATGAATCGAAGCAAATTATAGCTAAGGAGCATAATTAAGCTATTTTTAAGTGGCTATATGCTAAAGTTATTTCCCTTTATTTTAAGGGTCAAGTCTATATGGAAAAATTACTAAACTACACTACTTTAATTTATCTAATTTCATTAATTCCCTACTAATGTATTAAATTACAAAAAAAAACCCTTTTTTTATGCCAAATGATACTAATTAAATTTTATACGTTATAATACTAAAGAGTTAATTTAACCTTATCAAAGTAAAACAAAATTTACCTTCCCAATATCTGATTCCTTTCCCCAAAAAATTTCACGTTCCCCAAAAATTCCGCCTTCCCCAAAATTTTCCCCCTAATTTCACTTAAAAATTGTAAATCAAATTTGAAATTCAAATTATTCTAAGGATTATTATCAATACTCTTCCGAATATGGTCCTAAATAAGGTATATCATTATCCACATTACTATTTTTCATTAATTCTGTTTTTTTTTTTTTGTATTTTCTGTGATGGTATATCATCATCCACATTAATATTTTTCAATTTTCTTTTTCTTTTTTTTTGCATTTTCTATGATTATTGTACAAAAAAATTTATTATTTATTTTCATAATCACATTCTATGTAGATTTGGGTTCTTTATAGTTGCATCAAACTATTGCCATGAAAAACTAAGCTCTAGCAAGAAATTTTTTTCAAAAAACAAACATACATCTACATCGAAAGACCCGAAAACTCCAAAAAAGAGGTGAAGAAAGGTGGCACCTCCTATTGTTCGACCAACATTACAAACGGTATGTAAATTTGTTTCCCATATACATCATTATTTTCAAGTTGTTTCTTTAGTTTGTTGATTCTGATTGTTAAGTGTAGTTTATATTGTATATGGAATTATTTTTTTTAGTTAATTTTGATAAATTAGTATTAGTCTGATGAATTATATTAAGTATCGTTTTGATCTTATCATGATTTTTGTATATATTTGTTAGTATGTTCAATTATTTTTTATTAAGTATCTTTTTTTGGTGCTCATGATAGAATAATTCTTTGTTTTATTTTTACTTATATTTCGTATATATTAAGGTATCAAATAATAGTATACGTGTAGCATACAGTCATACATCTGTTATTTAAGTATCATATTTATATGAATTATTGATAAGTATATAAAAATTTAAGTATCTAATTTAAATTGTGAATTTAAGTATATTTTCATGTGTTGGAAATGAAATTTAATGCATCAAAGAAATATATTTAAATTTAATGTTTCATGTATATATAGTTTCAAATGTATTTGTAAGTATCATGTTAACCTATTTATTTATATTTAGTATCAGCATTAGGCAATTTTTAGTATCATTTAAAACAGTAATATTATTATATGCGGTCAATAGTTTATAAACTTTTTATATATGTTACAATTTGATAAAATTTTATTTGTTTTATTGTAGAATATGGACTACGTCATTAAACATATTTCAACTAATGTATTAAATTTTTGTCCAATATACAACACGAATTTTGTTGAATACCTTAGTATCATCTATTGAGGTTGAAGACATGAATTTATTTAAAGAAATAATTTTTGCATCATACCTAAATATCCCTAGATGCAATTATTAAGGCCAAATTATTAAGTGTTAATACTTGTTAGAGATTGAGCATGATAATTTAGATGAAGAGATTCACATTCGTCATGCCAAAGGGAAAGGGAATGCGTTGAAATTTAGAATCAGTGAATTTGCAATTGTCACAGGTTCGAATTATAAAGATAATGTAAAAGACTTTACATATCTGGTCTAAAAAACCAGTAGATTAGTTGAAAGATATTTTTCTGATACTAAATGTAATGTTAACAAACAAAGATTGGTAGACCGGTTTATGGTAGGTCAATGGAAAAATAATGAGGATGCCCTTCAGATGGCTATACTTTATTTTATCCATACATTTTTGTATTCCCAACCTGATAATACATCAAATCCTATTGAAGATTTCTATATGGTGGAAGATGGTAGTTACCAATAATTTCCTTGGGGTATAGTTGCTTTTGAAAAGTTAATGAAATCTTTTCAAAAAAAGTACAAACCTTCAAAAAATTGTATCGATCGAATGGATTTCCATATGCACTTAATATATGAATTTATGAATGTGCTTCTACGATAAACACTGATATTGCTGTCAAAGAAGGAAACGGTATACTACGGTCAACTGCTTGTTTGACTTCTTCCGTAGATAAACAAGCAGTTGACCGTAGTATACCGTTTCATTCTTTGACAGCAATTTCGGTGTTTATCCTAGAAGCACATTCATAAATCCATATATTAAGTGCATATGGAAATTCATTCAATCGATACAACTTTTTGGAGGGTTTGTACTTTAAAGATTTCATTAACTTTTCAAAAGCAACTATGCCCCAACGAAACTGTTGGTAACTACCATCTTCCACCATATAGAAATCTTCAATAGAAATTGGTGTATTATCAGGTTGGGAATACAAAAATGTATGGATAAAATGAAGTGTAGCCATCTAAAGAACATCCTCAATATTTTTCCATTGACCTACCATAAACCGGTCTACCAATCTTTGTTTGTTAACATTATATTTAGTATCAAGAAAATATCTTTCAACTAATCTACTGATTTTTGAGTCCGGATATGTAAAGTCCTTTACATTATCTTTACAATTCAAACCAGTGGCAATTGCAAATTCACTGATACTAAATTTCAACACATTCCCTTTCCCTTTGGCATGACGAATGTGAATCTCTTCATCTAAATTATCATGCTCAATCTCTAACAAGTATTAACACTTAATAATTTGGCCTTAATAATTGCATCTAGGGATATTTAGGTATGATGCAAAAATTATTTCTTTAAATAAATTCATATCTTCAACCTCAATAGATGATACTAAGGTATTCAACAAAATTCGTGTTGTATATTGGACAAAAATTTAATACATTAGTTGGAATATGTTTAATGACGTAGTCCATATTCTACAATAAAACAAATAAAATTTTATCAAATTGTAACATATATAAAAAGTTTATAAACTATTGACCGCATATAATAATATTACTGTTTTAAATGATACTAAAAATTGCCTAATGCTGATACTAAATATAAATAAATAGGTTAACATGATACTTACAAATACATTTGAAACTATATATACATGAAACATTAAATTTAAATATATTTCTTTGATGCATTAAATTTCATTTCCAACACATGAAAATATACTTAAATTCACAATTTAAATTAGATACTTAAATTTTTATATACTTATCAATAATTCATATAAATATGATACTTAAATAACAGATGTATGACTGTATGCTACACGTATACTATTATTTGATACCTTAATATATACGAAATATAAGTAAAAATAAAACAAAGAATTATTCTATCATGAGCACCAAAAAAATGATACTTAATAAAAAATAATTGAACATACTAACAAATATATATAAAAATTATGATAAGATTAAAACGATACTTAATATAATTCATCAGACTAATACTAATTTATCAAGAGTAACTAAAAAATTATAATTCTATATACAATATAAACGACACTTAACAATCAGAATCAACAAACTAAAGAAACAACTTGAAAACAATGATGTATATGGGAAACAAATTTACATACCGTTTGTACTGTTGGTCTAACAATAGGAGGTGCCGCCTTTCTACTCCTCTTTTTTTGCGTCGGGTCTTTAGATGTAGATGTGTTTGTTTTTTGAAGAATTTTTCTTGCTAGAGCTTGGTTTTCATTACAATAGTTTGATGCAACTATAAAGAACCCAAATCTACATATAATTTGATTATGAAAATCAACAATAAAATTTTTTGAACAATAATCACAGAAAATATAAAAAAACGAAAAAAAAATTTGAAAAATATTAATGTGGATGATTATATACCATCACAAAAAATAAAAAAAATAATAATAATAATAATGTGGATGATGACATACCTGATTTAGGATTCAAATTTGAAAGAGTATTTATTGATAACAATCTTAGAATAATTTGAATTTCAAATTTGATTTACAATT